ACTTCATGTGACAGAAACTGAAAAAATTGGGGGTATCTACTCTATGTACAAACAAAATGAATTTCAAACCAAGACTGATTAAGAGAGACAGAAGGTCACTATATTCTTGTAAAGGGAACAATCCAAAAGGAAGAGATAACAATCCTAACTCTATATGCAACAAATTCCAATGCACCCAACTATATAAAAAATATTAATGGGCATGAAAAATTAAATAAGCACTAATACAATTGTATTGTGGGATTTCAACACCACAGTGTCACAAAAAGATAAAACAACTAGACTAAAAATCAATAATGAAACAATAGAACTGAACCAAACTTTTAAACATATGGACTTAGTAGATGTCTACAGATGGTTTAACCCCACATCATCAGAATACACATTCTTCTCAGCTGCACAAGGGACATTCTCAAAAACAGACCACATACTAGCCCATAGAACATGCATAAGTAAATACAAAGGAATTGAAATTACCTCATATACATTATCACACCATAGTGCAATGAAACTAGAAATCAATGTCAAAAGAAGCCACAAGAACTTTATAAACACATGGAACTTAAATAGACCCTCCTGAACAACCAATGGGTCGCAGATGAAATTAAAGAAGTTAGGCAGTTTCTATAATTAAATGATAATGCAAACAAAAGATACCAGAACTTTTGGGACATAATGAAAGCTGTTGTAAAGGGGAAATTTATAGGAGTGAGCACATCAAGAAAACACAAATAAACAGCTTAATAGTGAACCTCAAACTTCTAGAAAAAAGAAAAGCAGGCTTAGCCAAAAGCTCATATGAGGGGAAAAAATTATAAAGAGCAGAAATTAATGCATTGGTGACTAAGAAAACAATATAATCAATAATTCAAAGAGTTGGTTCTTTAAAAGATTAAATAAAATTGAAAAACCCTTAGCCAACCTTATCAAAAGGGGGAGACTCAAATATACCCAACTATAAATGAAAAGGGTGAAATCACAATGGATCCTGCATAAATCCAGATCGTTTCCACCTACTTTGAAAATCTGTATTCTCATAAAATGGAAAATGCATATAAAATGGACATATTCCTAGATACACATGAATTACCAAAGCTGAATCAAGAAGATACAAAAATCCTAAATAAAGCAATATTAATCAATGAAACTGAAGATGTAATTAAAGGCCTACCAACAAGGAAAAGCCAAGGTCCTGGCAGTTTCACTGCTGAATTCCACAAAAAATTTAGAGAAGACCTAATTTAGAGAAGACCTACTACTTCTCAAACTCATAAATGAAATTGAAAAGGAAGCAGTACTCCCAAATTCACTCCTATAAGCAAGTTATGACCCTGATACCAAAACTAGAGAAGGCTCCAACTAAAAAGCTAGCCAATCTCCCTAATGAACACAGAAACAAAAGTCCTCAATACTATACTAGTAAACAGAATGCAGCAAATCATCAAGAAGATTATATACCATTACAAGTTGGTTTTATCCCAGGGATGCAGGGATGGTTCAACATACATAAATCAATAGATATAATATACCACATTAACAGAGCCAAAGACAAAAATCATATGACTATTTCAATAGATACAGATAAAGCTTTTGACAAAGTTCAGCACCCATTCATGATAAAAAAAAAACCCTACAGAAAAGCAGAATAGATGGTCTTTATCTCAATCTGATAAAACCCATCTATGACAAACCAACAGCCAACATCATACTAAGTGGACAAAAACTGAAAGCTTTCACTCTAAAATCAGGAACAAGATAAGGATTACACTGTCTCCACAATTATTCAGCATAGTCCTGGAATGTTAGCTGGAACAATTAAACAAGAGAAAGAAATAAAAGGAATAAAGATAGCGTTATGGATTGTGCCTAGATGTCCCCCCAAAGCCTCATGCAGTCATAGAGTGGGCTTCTAAAGTTTATGACTACCTCATGGTTCATTGCTGGGATTATTTATGGGTGTGAGTGCTACACCCATTCTGGGTTGGGAAGCTTACATGCAATATAAGAAAGAGAAAGAAGCTTCCTCGCAGCTACTTGTTCTTTTGCTCTTGTTGCTTTTGCTGTTTTTCCACCATCATAAACTGTTGCCCTCTGCCATGTGCAACCCTGACTTAGTGCCAGCTGAGGATGGACTCAAACCTTCACAAACAGTGAGCTAAATAAACCTCCCCTTCTTTAATTCTGGGTGTCACGTATTTTTGTCTCAGCAATGAGAGAAAAATAACTAAGACAGACAGGAAAGGAAGAAGCTAAACTATCCTTATTTGCAGAAAATATGATGCTCTACATAGAAAACCCCCAAAATGATTTAATATCCAAATATTTAAAACCCAAATTTAAATTTAATATCCAAATTCAGTAGTGTAGTGGGATACAAAGTAAATACTCAAAAATCAATAGCCTTCCTATACACAAATAACAAATAAAAATTAAGCAAAACAAACACCCTTAATAATAGCATCCAGAAAAATGAAATACTTAGGAATGGATCTAACAAAGGAAATAAAAGACCTCTATGTTGAAAACTGCAGTACTCAGTAAAAAGAGATTAAAGACGATATTAGAAAGTGGAAAGATATTCCTTGTTCTTGGGGAGGAAGAATCAATATAGTGAAACTGGCCACACTTCTAAAACTGTTTTACAGATTTAATGCAATTCCAATCAAAATCCCAACAACATATCTCACAGAATTCGAGAAAACAACCTTAAAATTCATTTGGAACCAGAAGAGACCCAAAATAGTAAAGGAATTCCTGGATAAAAAGGCAAGGCAGGGGACATCACAATCCCTGACTTGAAATTATACTATAAAGCTACTGTGACAAAAAAAAAAAACAACAATGTAGTACTTGCAAAAAATCAGACCTGCAGATCAGTGTAGTAGTATAGAGGGTGGGAAAAAAAAAAAATCCAGACATACTCGCCAACCTTATGTTTGACAAAGGTGCTAAGTACATTCACTGGATGACAGATAGCCTTTTTAAGGGCCAGCCAAATAGCTCAGGAGCAGGGGCCGGGAGTTCAATCCCACGCCTGCCATGCCAGCCCTGCCCCTGGAGCATGCTGACACAGTGATTGAGGCTAGGCATGGTGGCGCATGCCAGCAATCCCAGCACTTGGGAGGCTGTAAACAGGAGAAGCACTGTGAGTCCAACCTATGTAGTGAGACCCTGAACACCCTGTGGAGCCTGCCCTCAAAAATACAGAAAAAAAAAAAGATAGTCTCTTTAATAATTGGTGCTTGAAAAACTGGCTCTGCACATGCTGAAGATTAAAATTAGACCCATATCCTTCACCATACACTAAACTAAATTCAAAATTAGTTCAATTTTTAGTTTAAAACTAATTTTAAATTAAAACTAGTTTTAATTAGTTTAAATTCAATATTTAGATTCACAGATCTAAATATTAAAACAGGAATATTAAATCTGCTGGGACATAGAATAGGTAAAGACACTGGTGTAGGCAATGACTTTTCTGAATAAAACCCCAATCACACAAGTACTAAGAATCAACAACTTGGATCTCATCTTATTAAATAGCTTTTGCACAGCAAGAGAAACTACCAACAGAGTGAAGACACAATGCAAAATGTGGTGCAGGGGGAGCAAATGCTGTTCCTCAGACAAAGTATTACTATGGAGAACATATAAAGAACTCAGAAAAATCAGACCTCCCAAATTTAAAGATCCAATCCTGGGCAAGAGATAGCTCAGTGCTCTAAGAGCCTGCCTAGGCAGGTGCAAGGACCCAGGTTCGATCCCCAGTACCACATGTTGTGGTTACCCCAGCCCACGTACACCAAGCTGGCCGCCAAGACCGGGTGTGATAGCATATGCCTGTAATTCCAGCACTGAAGAGGCTGAAACAGGAGGATCATTCTGAGTTCAAGCTGAGCTGCATAATGAGAACCTGTACCAACTACATAAAAAAAAAACAAGATCCAATTCCAAAATGGGCATCTGAGAAGAAGAAATATAAATAGCAAATAAATGTAAGAAAAAATGTTCAGCAGCACTGGTCATTCAAGAGGTGCAAACTAAAACAACACTGACATTCCTTCTCACCCAGAAAGAATGTCTAGCATCAATAAATCAACCAATAATTGGTGGAGAAGTGTGGGGAGAAAGGGAGCCCTTTTCCACTGTTGGTAAAAGTGCATACTGGCGCAACAACTGTGGAAATTAATGTGAAGATTCCTCAAAATTTAGGATCAGAGGTCCTATTTGACCCAGGTATTCCCCTTCTGGGTATTCTCCCAGAAGACTTAAAAACACAGCAATATATGTTCAACCATGTGTATAGCAGCACAATTTGTAATAACTAGATACTGGAAACAACTCAAATGCCCGTCAACCAAAGGAGGGATAAAAAAACAGATGTGGCCTTTTTATACAGCACTTCTCAGCCATAAAGGATAAAAACTGGAGACTTTATAGGTAAATGAATGTGATTCAAGACCATACTCATAAGTAAAATAAACCAGATTCACATGTGTAAACATCATATTGTCTCCCTAATGTGAGAAACTGAAAGAATAAATAAGATTCAAAATGCACAATATATATTGTAAAATTGGAAGGAATTGTTCAAATGGAAACAGAAACTGGGATGAGGAGAAAAGAAGGAAGAGAAAAGCAATACACACACACACGATAGTTAAGATAGTTACACTACTACTTTCTCTTTGTTCACAGAAAAGAAAGGTTTGTGCCAATATTGTGTGGATAATTAAATGCATATGTCTTATACTCTGATTAATTTAAAGATAACAATACATAATTATTAACCATTGTTACTCTCCTATTATCATTTTGAAATTTTGTTTTACTTTTTTCTCTTTAAATTTTTTTTTTTAAAAAGAGCACTTGAATATTAAACAATCTAGAGTAAAAATCCAAGAAACCAGTAAATGAACACACTCTCTAAAGAGGACACTTACAATGGATGTGAATAACTACCCCAGAGGTGGTCATTTCATTTCTAAGCCACAAGTTACCTTGCAGGGCCCTGGTTCTGGTGAGAGCACCTCTAAAGAAGAGCTTGAACTCCTGCTTCCGGGATGTGTTCTTGAACTTGATGCTGGCTTTGAAATTCCGTCTAGGTTTCCTTTTATAACATCCATTGGCATCCTAAAACAAGTAAAAGCATTAAAAAACAAGAATCTCAGATGTTTAAATGATGTGCTCATGTTTATAACCAATTACTCAGAGCCTTGTCTTAATTATGTTATGACAAAAGTCACACTTTAGGGCTTCCCAAGATCACCCAAGGTCTTCTTGAATATATGGATTATTTCATCTTATGGCTTCATAGTACAAAAGATACTGCCTGGAAAGGAGCTAAAAGAGAATACAGGAGCAGGGCACAGCCAGAAGCAGCTGCCAGCCCAACAGCCAGCCAGTGGGACCTAGCCGCCAGTCCACTTCGGCAGAGTGCAGACAGAGGCAGCCACTAAGCCCAGCAGCCAGATCTGAGCCAGGCCTGGCCATTTGAGTCCAAGTTTGGTAGAACTAGATCTGATTAGCTGAGGCATACTACTAGGCCCCACAGGGTCATAGCTGACAGTTAGACTTAAGGTGAGGATCTGCCAAGCGGAGGTGGCAGGGGGTAACCTGGGTAAACTAGTCTGCCTGGAAGACTCCAGGTACATCAAGGGGAGGTACCTAGACAGAGGGGAACTAATTTAAATACAAATTCCCAGTTTATGATATGCTTTGTTACATACCTATAATGTTTGCTCGTATGGTATAAAGTGCAAAACCAGACTGGGCATGGTGGTACATGCCTGTAATCACAGCTCTTGGGAGACTGAACACATGCAGATCACTATGAGTTGGATCTATGCAGTGAGACCCTTTAGACCCTGTAGACTTTGTACTAAAATACAAAAATAAAATAAAATAAAGTGCAAAACCATTAGTTACAAAAGTTTGTCAATTTCTAAATTTCATTAGCTGATATTAGTATTGGTAATTGTACTGTTCTCAATAGGATATCATATCTGCCTTAACTTTATGTTCTCCCTTGGTTAAAAATATCAAGAGGCGCTAGGGTAATAACTTCACCAAAGTCCTATACCAAAAGATGGAAGACA